CCCTCTACATCAAATTCTGGGCCTGCGAGTAACGTCACTATCAGCAGCTTGTAGTGATGACGTCACCTGCAGACCTCGATGGAATGCTTGCGATTCAGGCTGTGCTAGAAAGATAATTTTTTCGTCGATTTTAAATATAGAAAGGTGATTTTCGGTTTGTTCTCACAGAAGCAATTAATGTTCTGGATCCTCGAGTATCCCAGAATTTGATGTTAGGGGAGTATGACACAAATGACACATCATATAATCCAGCAAAAGATTATGATTATGCTTGCTTATCCTCGCAAAAAATTATCTATTGTCTTCCAGACTCAGATAATTTATGGCACTAGTCGGTGGAGTACGGACAGTAGCAGTGCAGTGCGGTACTATTATGTTGTATTTCTTTTTGTTTAGATAAACGGTTCCCGGTTCCTGAATTTTTTCGTTTAACTCGTTTTCTGTCTCACATGTTCTTGATAAACTTGTTTTTTGATCAAATTTGTTTCTATAGTTGGTGGAAAAGGCCATTACTTCACGCATTAGTACGTCTTTTGGATAGTGCGAATGAGTATGAGTGTTTTCATGATCTCCGAGTTTTCCGGACGTTGTTTCGAATTCCGGCCGGACTTCCCCGAACACCCTGAAAACCCAAACATGTCCGGGTAAATCCGGACGTATGGAAACCCTACCCCTTGCCCCTTGCGGATGGTAAAGATAAGGTTACCTATAAACAACCTTAAGTTAAGATTTCGATCTAACTAACCTCAAATAAAGAAAAAGGATAACGCACACCTAACATGGGATTTTTGGGCTCTATGGATTTTGCCCATTTTTTGATATGTTGTAGAGGACTTAATTTTGAACAACCTTTAAATGGGACGAAATCTTGTAGGTATTACGGTCTTTGAGATATGAGCGTTGAAAGATGAACTTTTTTGCGATTTTTTATGTGGAGAGTATACGAGATACTGGTGCAAGAATCGTAAACTTTACAGGATTGCTCAATCCCATAAGACAAATGTTCATAAAAACATCGAAGATGGCGGTATGCGAATGACGTCACGCAGTCCTTGATCGGTTTGTGTTTTCTATGACAGTACACTATCCTTGCATTTTCAAACGTGAAAAATTGTTATTTTGAGGTTATTTCCTTTGCAAACTGTATTTTGTAATTAATTTATTAATTTTAAAATTAGCAGACTTCAAAAGCTTGTGTCCTTGAGGCTTGAGTGGTTGGCTAATTAGAAAGACGAGTTTGTTTGCTTTTGTTTATCAATTAGCCAAACATATTGCCAAAAAGTCAAAAAAACGAAAGGCTGGAGTCAAGCTGGCCCCCGGATTCGTTTCAATGTTTTTTTTGTGTATGAAAATGAGCACAATTCGCATAAATACTGGCACAATTGAGCACAAAACGGGCACAATTGACTACAGTGGAGAAACAGTAGAAAACGAAATGTGGGGTGCCAACTTGAGCGAGCCGGTTTAATTTTAGCATTTCAATATCAAAATATAAGCGAAACGGGGTTGCAAGTGTGTTTTATTTTTTACTGCCCCTACCTAGGTACTTCTCAATTATTATTCATTAGTTTAATAGATACTAGAACGATTTAATATGGACATTCAAAGTAAGCTTATTTCACAAAGCCAAATAGTGATACCTAATTTAGATTCTCATAATCATATTCCAGAAAAACACTGCAAGTTTCCCATATTTTCCATGCGTTTTCATAGTAAACGCGCCAGTAAAGGAATTTATTTACATATTTATTTATTGACTCTTCACAAACACTAATTTTTATTAGTAATTACATGCAAAGGAAACTTACAACTAAGTAGATATTTGATTTACAAAAAAAAAGCAATACAAATGCTTGACTAGGAAATACTAACTAGCAATACACACAAATAAAAGAGCGATGTCCTGATACAACAAATCCAGTATTATAAAACCACTAAAACCAGAAAATGCTTGGGGTTTTCGCGAGTATTTTCAGCCACGAGTCTTTTATGCTTACACATTAAATGAAACTTTAAATTTACACTTATAACACTAGCAAAACACTAGATAAATCCGAATTTACGATAAAATAATTGTCAGCACAAACTGAACATCATTCGTATCAGCGGCCATCTTGAAAATCCGGCATGCACGTGACGTCACAGCAATTGTGAACAAATTTAGCCGATTGAGCAATCCTGTAGAGTTTACGATTCTTGATACTGGTGCTACTGGTCTTTATCAGTCAAAATATTGACAGGTTCACATACTTTACGTCACTTAAAAATTGATGTCAACGTAGGTTAAGGCCGAGACCGCACTAGGGTCAATGTTGGCGCCAGTGCCGTCCTAGCCTTAGCCTACGTTGACATTTGTTAGTGACGTGAAATATGTCGACCTATCAAAATTTTGACTGATAAACACCAGTTTTTTGTATACTCTCCATACAAAAAGTTGCAAAAAAGTTCATCTTTCAACGCTCATATCTCAAAGACCGAAATTAGGCAATTCAAACCATGTGACATTCAAGATGGCGTGGCGGACACACATGGGCCAAAAAACACATAAAAATATCTAGTTTCTGCCGGAATTAATAGTTCAGGTACCTAGTCAACAAATATTTTATTAAATAATGAAAATCAAAGTTGTAAGCAAAACTGTATGCAAAATAATTTAAAATACGCATAAAAACATATCCAAAACAAACTTGCTTGGCCGCCACGTCACATTGAATTTTCCGTTTTGACAGATGGATTGAATTGCCTAATTAGGCAATCTACTGACCTGTCAAAAACGAAATTCAATATGGAAGTTCGGGTCAAGCATTGGGTCAAGCACTGTGTTGTTTATTCTGTATGTCATTGATTCTGTCACATTCTGGACAAACGTCAAGATTTGAATTATCGGATTTTGTGTTTTTTTGTGTGTTTAGGTATTGTGTTAATTAAAATGCCAGCGATTTGCATCGTAATTGGGAGTGGAAGTCGAGGTAACAGGGCTAATGTGAAATTTTATTCAGTTCCTGCTATTTTAAATCATTGGCTTTTGATCTACAAATATGAATTATCAAAACAACGCAGGGCTTATTGGATTGCTGCAACTAAAAGCTCAATTTTCCCTTAATAATAATACCTTAAGATATTCACTCTCCATCTCAGAATTTATTAATAAATTAAAAAATACGTAGAAACACTATAAAATTCACTTTAAAAACAACAAGGTCCAGAACACTAAAAAATACGTAGAAATATTAAAGACTATAAAATTCACAATTCACTATGAAAACAACAATGACCAAAACCAATGAAAAATACGTAGAAACACAAAATTCACTTCGAAAGCAGCAAGGGCCAGAACACAAATGCTCTCCTTATGAACGTCAAACGTCACCGGCTCACCGGCTTGTCACCGCAATATTAGACCCGAACGGCCATTAGAAAACCACGTGATTGAGATTGCCTAAATACATACAAGATTTCGTCCAATTTAAAGGTTGTTCAGAATTAAATCCTCTACAACATATCAAATCATGTTAGGTGTGCGTTATCCTTTCGATGTTTCTGTTGTGATTAAGATTGTTAGGAAATATTAATTATTTAAATTAAAAATTAATATTTTGGTAGGTAGACTTCAAAATGCGCCCAACATCCTAGTATTCCTAGTTGTGAAAACAAAAACAAACTGATGTGGTTATGTTATTTCTTTTCTTTGTCTTTCTTCTCAGGAGAATTGGTAGTAGCGTTCTTTTCAAAAATTAGTTAGGTGAAACTCTTAGCTAAGTTAGGTAAGGAGGGCGGTAAAACGAAAGCAACTAATGTGCATAAACTGGAACTGGAATGCGCACCACACATATTGACGAACGTGAAGCCTAGTGCCGCTGCTGCGGAGGGGATACCTGGGGTGCGATTTTCGAAACCATTCGAGTACATTTCGTACACGAAATTTGACTGACAGCAATGTAAATTGAATGGGGAGCATTCGAAATCGTATCAAACGTATACGAAAATATTCGAAAATAGGACCCCTGTTTTTGTTACAGCGAGCACCAGAAAAAAACATGAAAAAAACTTTGAATGAAAAAAAAAAACATTCCCCCTTGCCTTGTGGCATCTGTCTTTCATGGCGTTCATGGCTTCATTTTTTTGTTAGATATGGCAATGTGTGGTGTGCGCATTCCAGTTTTTGGCTATAGTTCATTGGGTGCGACTCAAAGGGTGCGACAAACACTTTTCGAAAGGAATAAGCGCGTAACGCCCCGGAGCTATTCCGGAGCTCCTCCCAGGTGTGAAAGGAATACAACTAAATCATGGCGCTTCCGATTGGTAGATCTAGTGCGGAACTAGTGCAATTTTTTCCATATCTATTTTTTTCATCTACAGGTCGATTAAAAAGATGCAAATGCACTCAGTGCGCACTGGAATCTACCAATCGGAAACGCCATCAGTAAGTCACAAGTCCACAGAATTGACAGAAATACACTCCACGCCACGACTACCCCAAAATGTAAACGTTTGTATCCATTCACGTTTTTTGAAGAAATTATTGCAAAATTTGTAGTCTGACGCGTTGCCAAGGCTAAGCGACAAGCGTATCTCTGGACTAAGCCAAGTACACGAACAAATTTTGGTGAGTGCAACGAAATGTAGGATCTAGAGCAAGAGTAGGTGTGAAAAAAGAAATCGCCTATTGGCAGTGCCAAGGCGTCTACCTTGTCAAAATCATATGGTATTCAGGGAATGGTCAATTTATTTTTAATTTTGAAGTTCTAAATTCTATCCTAAAACAAAGAAATTACTAGTCATAGTAGTCATCAATAAATAATTAAAACAATAATTAAAAGTGCTTCAAGTTACTAAAAGCTATATTAGTGCTCAATATTTGATTAGATTTGAATTCCAGACAATAGTAAGTAGAAATAGAGCTTCTCGTTTTATATCATAAATTGAGTATAGATGTGTCTACATTTCTACAATCACAATTCGTAATAAATTGCTGTTTTAGGCCTCTACCATAGTTCATTATGGTAGACTATGAAAAAGCAGAAACAGCAAATTTGCAGCAAGAATTCGAATGGGTCCTGGATCAAGAAATTCACAAAGGCCTGGACCAAATACACCAAATCCTGGTAGAATGTGCCCGTAGATTTCCAGTGCAGCTTTACGGCCATGACAATTCGAGCAAACAAGACAAATTTGTACTTTCAGTGCCTGCAGATCAGTTAAAATGTGTTGTCACACTAACTGGAGACAGTATTACTCATGCCGATATCAATTTTAAAGTAACTAGACAAAATTCAGCTACAATGGTTAGGACTACAATACATACAGAGTACCCGTGGAAGTTGCAGCAGGTGCAAGATGCAGCAAACCATTTGCAGCAAGCTATTTATCACATTGATGATGTTGGAAAAAATTACAAATTCAAGTCTTCAGATGAAGTGTTGCACATATTGGGAAATATCTTGGGCAGTCTGCAAAGGGGCAGAACAAGCCTGATTGTACCCAGGAAAAAAACGATGGATGATTTAATAAAAAGCCGAAACATGAAATCATTATCACCAAATTTGTCTGAGGACTTGGCTATTAGTTTTTACATCCAAAGTCACAAATTGATATTTGCTATTTACCAACTGGTGCATAGTCATGGTGAAATGAAGTACGAATCTTCGCACGCTGAATGCTCAGTACCCTGGCTGAACGAAGTTCTGGTACTGTTTACTGTGGGGCTACAGTTGTGTCAACAACTCAAAGATAAGATCTGTGTTTTCTCTCAATATAAAGATTTTACTGTAGGATCTAGATCAGTGAGTCCCATAAATTAGTAATTATTACAATCTCATTTTGGACTAGTTTTTAGTTTATGTGTTTAGGTTAAGACGCATTGTCCTAACTCTTTTACAATAAGCGCATTATATTGTACTACTTGTCAATTTATTGATCTAGATTATTGTGCTTTTGAACTATGTATGTATATTTATTTGCAGAATATTAATTCTTGAGACTTTTTAACAATATTTGTGTAGCTATAACAAAATTTTACCCTGTAGACACCTTAAAGCAGTATTTATTTTAATATTAAGTGATGACTAATTTTCTGTATTTTTTGAGCCATGTGCTAAATAAAAAGGTATATTGAGTGTTACCTTTTATTTATTTTTTAATTTGTCTGTTCCAGTATATTCTCTAATAGTAATTCATCGACACAATCAGTGGAGTTATGACTTCTTGGGGTGTTACAAAAACCACAGAGGACACCAACATGTTGATTCCCTAACAAGAATTAATAATGCCCACCAATCACTTCTAGACTTAGGTGGAAGTATAGTCTTCCTCTTACTTCTTCTGTTTTTTTGCTGACACAGATAACAAATGAGAAGAAACTCAATTCAATTCAATTCAATTCAATTTATTCAATATTGCTAGACTTTTGACTATTTCACTGAAATTTCAATATAAACTAAAAACAGAGAATAAAAGTAGATAAATATATAGACTGTACAAACAAAAAAATTACATTTAACAATAGTTACATACAATTTAAAACAATTCAGTGAAATAAGGATTTTCAAAACAGAAACTCTTAAATTTAGCTTTAAAGCGCTTTTTTTCTTTGGTATTTCTTATTTCTAATGGTATCCTATTGTTACGCCGCCAGGATATCAAGAATAATCCAATCGAGAATCCAATTTAGCGCGAGTCTTACAGGGTTTTCTAGAAGATTACTTAACGTGTGTATTCTAGATTTTACAGGGATAGATTTAGGGATATATAAAGGACGCTGTTGCTTTGTAGTTTTTAAGTTTCAGTTCGACTGTGATACGATTTAAATAGTGATTGTAAAGAGTTTAATTGTTGAGTTAGTTATTGAAGTAATTAGTGTCAGAGTATATTGTTACGTGGAATAAATTATTGCTGTGTTAATTGGACTTTGATTTTTGGAATAAACGAAACGAACAACGAACCCAAGATTTCTGTCAGGCATTCCAAAGCCGTGACAATTGGTGTCAGAAGTGAGACATAAAGGACTGCAGAGTGAAATCCAATTGCGGAAGTGCGGGGACACTAGTGTAGTGTAAAAACTGAACACTTAGTGAACTGAACTGAACACTGGGACAGTTATTCAGTGCAAACAGTGACAATAATCGCAAAACGAGACTTAACCGATCGTGTAAATTACTCCGAAAGTGACTCTGTACCCGATTTTGACTGTGTAGTGAATCTTCGAGTGAGTTCTAGAAAATTCTATTGGAAACTAAGGGAGATATCGAATTTGTGACTTCGCCGACGTATTCGGAACATCAATCGTCATTCAGAAGACGTTTTTCGAGGAGTTTCGGGAAAATTCTAGAACATTCTATTTGGAAACCAAGGGAGATATCGAAATTGTGACTTCACCGACGTGTTTGCTGTATCAATCGACATCTAGAAAAGAAAATTCCAGAACATTCTATTCTAGAATAAAGCAAGTTATCCAATTTGTCACTTCACCGGCGTGTTCGGAACTTCGAGCAAAGACCAGAAAAGATATTTGAAGAAAGTTCGAGGGAAATTCTAGAACATTCTGTACATGCCTATCACAAGACAACAAGCCAAAATGGACGAACAAAAAGTTGAAGAACTCCTGCGCAAAATGTTGGAACTTCAAGAGACCAAACGACAACAAGAAAAACAAGACGAAGAAGCTAGACGACAACAAGAAGAGGCTAGAAGACAACAAGAAAAACAAGACGAAGAAGCCAGAAGACGACAAGAAAAACAAGACGAAGAAGCCAGACGACAACAAGAAAAACAAGACGAAGAAGCCAGACAACAACAAGAAAAACAAGACGAAGAAGCCAGACGACAACAAGAAAAACAAGACGAAGAACTCAGACGATAAAAAGAAAAACAAGAAGAAGAAGCTAAACAACAACAAGAGAAACAAGACGAAGAGGCCAGACGACAAAAAGAACGGCAAGAAGACCTTGAACAACTACAGAAAATATTTTAAACATACACGGATTTGTCGCTAACCTAGAACAAAAGATTACGGAAGTAAAAGCCGAAGTCAAAGACGATGTTCGAGAAGTTAAAGACGATGTTCGAGAAGTTAAAAACGACGTTCAGGAAGTAAAAGCTGTAGTCAAAGCCGATGTTCAAGAAGTTAAAGACAATGTTCAAGAAGTTAAAGACGATGTTCAGCAATTAAGACAAGAAGTTGAGGACCAAGTTCAAGCACCCATTGAGGACCTAAAGGAAAAACAATCATCAAAAGAGGATGGTAGTCTCGAGAATGTCATGAGTCATTTCATGGAGGAGATAAAGAAACTATTACAAGAAGACAGACAAATGGGAAACGATTCCAGACAAACACCAACCCCGAGAAACCGAATAGAGTGCTACCGGTGCCATAAGCTTGGGCATATTCAACGAGATTGTAGAGTAAGGATGTCCTCTCCATCCAAGGGATCGTTTCCAACGCTTTTCGAGATCGAGAGACGCCAGCCCTAATAACAGACAGGGAAACGTGAACTAACCAGTATGAAGGGGCGGATGCTGGTTAGTAATGACGAAGTCCCCAAGGTTGTTTACATAAAATCATTGGGCAGCCATTACAGAGGATTAAAATTCGAAGGACAAATTAATGGAGAATTAAAAACCATCACTTTTGATACGGGTGCTGAAGTTTTCATAATTAGGAGAACATTAGTCAAGTCTCGGGCAATCCAACCGCTCACTAGAAACCTGTCACTACGAACAGTCCCGGGCGATTCGGCATCAATTCAAGGAGAAGCTATGGTTGAGCTTTTACTTTTAGATCTACCACCTTCAGGCACAGAACATTAGTCGCCGATATAGAAGATGATTTTATTTTGGGAATGGATTTGATCGGCCAACATGGTTTTTCTTTTGATCCTTCCATGAACATCCTTAAATTTGGTAATGAAGAAATTGTCCTAACAACACAAGAAGAATCCCAAGCCGTTAAGATCCTGGCCACAACCCCAGTGAGGATTTCTGGAAGTACTGAGAAGATCATTTGCGGAAAATTAGAAACAAACCCTGGGTGCTGCGTTGGACTAACACGTAATTTTATTGGAGATAAACCAGAAAGATTTCTTGTTGGAAAGACTCTAGTAAGAACAAATGGAGACATTATGTTAAGAATTGCCAATGTTTCTTCCGAAACAGTAAGAATAAAAGAAGGAGACATTATTGCAACTCTTGAACCAGTTAAGCAAATATCGAATTGTGACCTTCCAGATAAGCGACATTTTGTGAAATCGAAATTGGATGCAGACACCTTGATGCAGACTTTGGGGAAATCATGGAAACATCTCGATCCAGATAGGCTTCAGGAAGCCATAGATTTCATCTTGAAAGAAGCAGACGTATTTGTGATGGATAATCAAACCGGACGGACCTGCTTTATTCAACACAAAATTGATACTGGATTCTGGATTGGCACATACAATTAGACAACCACCACGACGTATATGCCAGTAGCTAAACAACAGGAAGTGAAGAATCAAACCAAATTGATAAAATGCTTCAATAGGGAATTATTGAAGAGTCAAATAGTCCATGGTTTACGCCAGTAGTATTCGTTACAAAGAAAGATGGAAGTCTTAGATTTTGTGTGGACTACCGTAAGCTTAATGACGTCACCAAGAAGGACAGCTTCCCTCTTCCGAGGCTAGACGATACATTAACAACTCTGCCGGGCTCCAAATGGTTCTCCACCTTGGATTTTAAAAGTGGATACTGGCAAAGTGGCAATACATGAAGATGACAAAGAGAAAACTGCCTTCAGTCCCGGAAGCGGGTTATACAAGTTTAACGTAATGCCTTTCGGATTGTGTAACGCTCCAGCTACGTTTGAACGATTGATGCATCTTGTTTTGCGAGGCGTTACATGGAGAACTTGCCTGGTATATTTAGATGATGTCATGATCATGGGAAATTCGTTTCAAGAACATCTCAATAACCTGAAAGAAGTTCTTGACCGCTTCCGGAACTCCAACTTAAAAATTACGCAACTTTGCCCCAATTTAACCAACCCTGTATCTCTCACTGTTTCCGAGATCCTAGTGATGTGGCTCGAATTTGAAACACCCTGTATAGTTACCTACGTGGAATAAATTATTGCTGTGTTAATTGGCCTTTGATTTTGGAATAAAGGAACCCAAGACTTCTGTCGCGCTACCCAGAGCCGTGACACTACCTACCAAAACATTTCAAAACCGATTTTTTAAGGAACTTATTATTACCTACTTAAAAACACGGTAACGTAAATGTTACATAATAAATAGTACCTTTCCACGCTTGTTTTCAATCATTCAAGACTCGAGATAAAACTCAAGTGCTCACTTGTCTGTCGAATTGAATAATTTCAATGGGTGTCAATGCCTGATTTGGTATCAAGGGGAGATGGCGGAAAAAGTCCTAAAGATATTTTGTCCTAAAGCGCGAACGTCCTAATGGGCGGTCGCCCGACAGGGTTCGGCTAGCATCGGCATTGATCGGAATTCTTGGGATCTCAATTCTACATGGAATTAAGGAAAGGAAAGTGGTAAATTTGCCAACGTCGCATTTTATAAGGAAATCGCAGCTGGCGGTGAGCGGTTATTCTATTAATTGTTTATCATTGTATTTGTGTGAATATTTTTGAGATGTTTTTGAGTTTTTAAAGTGTGTTGGTGAATTATTAAGTCTAAATTATATCAGATACATTCAATTATGACCTCCAATCACTACTGTTGTGTTCCTCAGTGCTAGGGCTGCCATCCGTCCGGATTTCCCCGGATTTGTTCTAGTTTTAAAGGCGTCCGGGGACGTCCGG